CTCTCTCTCTCTCTCTCTCTCTCTCTCTCTCTCTCTCTCTCTCTCTCTCTCTCTCTTTCTTTTAAAAAAAGGATGCATATTGTAAGCCCTTGAGTCATTATGAAGAAAAGGAAAAAAGAAAGAGATATAACTAAGAAGCCAATAGAGAAGATAAAATAAAATACCAAAAATATCTGAACTATTTTAAAAAATCAGGAATGAAGAAAAAAACAGATGACACAAAGTCAACAAAGAGCAAAATATCAGACTCAAACCCAACCATATCTTTATTACGTTAGGTTGAAATGGAATAATCACACCCATTAAAGGGAAGATGTTGTCAAACAAAATTAAAACATCAAGACCCGACTATAGTCTGTCCAAGAAACACACTTAGAGGATAAAGACACAGGTACATCAACAGTAAAAAAGAAATGAGGTTGGGGACGTAGCTCAGTGGCAGGTCCTTCATTCAATTCTTGACCCTTTCCCCATCTCTCCCCAAAACTTAAAAGAATGGATAAACATGCACAAAAATAGTAAGCATAAGACAGATAGTGTCTGTATTAAAGTCATACAAATTAGATTTCAGGATGAGGACATTTCTTAGTAATAAAGGGATCAATTAATCAGCAAGACATAATAATCCTAAGTGTCTACCTAGCTACTAACAGAGCCTTACATTACATGAGGCAGTAATCAGAACGGAAAGGAGAAATAGACAGATTCATTATAGTTGGTAACTTCAACATTCCTCTCTTATTAACAAATAATTAAATTGTAGGTAATAATATAGAATTCTGAACAACCCTAGCAACCAATTCTAGCTAATAGTTACACACTGTATCAACAACTATTCAGTGCACACAGAACCTTCACCAAGGTCGACCATCTACCACCTCAATAAACACATCTCATAAATATAAAAGGACAGTCATATAGAGTATGTTCTCTCGCAGCAAAAATCAAATTAGAAATCAATAACAAAAAAGATGCCTGGAAATTTTTCAACTATTTAAAATTAAACGGCATACACATTAAAAAAATAAAAATCAACTAATTGGTTATACAAATATATCAAAATCCTGTATTAGCAGGAAACACTTAAAATGTGATTTTAAAATCAATTTTATTTATAAACAGCAACAGGAATGAAAGTTTTAAAATGTGTGAGATATCTATATTGAAACTTACCAAACATTGCCAAAAGAAATGAATAATTTCTGAAGAAAACTAAGTAAATGGAGGAATAGACCATGTCTTCACTTTGAAAAACTCAAAATTGTTATGCTATTGAATGACCCCAAATTAATCTACCAGTATAAGGTAACCCTAATAAGACTCCCATCAGGTTCTGTTGTAGAGAGTAAAATGCTGATGATTAAAGTTGGTATGGAAATATAAAGACCATTGGACAGCCAGAAGTATAAAGAATAAGCTAAGCAAATTGCATTACTTGATTTCTTATAACTGTAACTTATACAAGTCATAAACACACACACACACACACACACACACACACACACACACACACACACACACCTTAGAGAGCTACAGTAATTAAAGCAGCGTGGCATTAGGGTAAGAATAGACATATGGAGTCCAGAAGCAGATATGCATGTAATGGTCAATTGATGTTTGACAGAGGCACCAGGCCAATTCAACAGGGAAAGGAAGGTCTTCTCATCAAACAGTGCTGGAAAAAAAAAAAAAAGCTATCTATAAATTAGGAAAAAATGAATCTTGACCCATAACTCACAGTATGCACAAAAATAAGCTCAAAATGAAACATAAGCCTAGACATAAAAGTTAAAATTACAAAATTTCTAGAAGACAGAAGAAAAAAATTTCTGACCTTGAGGTCAGCTAAGATTTCTTAAGTGGGGCACATGCTCACACACGCCCGCGCGCGCACACACACACACACACACACCACATTTTTAAATGAAGTGGATTTAATCAAAATTTTAAACTTCTGCTTTTCTCTATTAAGAAAAACAACAGGCAATCAACAAACGGTAAGAAAAAATTCAAGTTGAGCATGGTGGTGTACAGCAATAATCCCAGCAATTTGGGACGCTGAAACAGGAGAATCACAAGTTCAAGGCCATTCAGCCACTTATGTAGACCCTGTCTCAAAAAAAAAAAAAAAAAAAAAACTGAGGATGTAGCTCAATGGTATGCAAAAGAAGGAAGGATGAAAGAGAGAAAAACAGATTTACCATACATACCACACATATGTCTCACAAAGAATGTGTATCCAGAATATATAAAGAATTTTACAACTCAGTAAGAAAACAAACAATCCAAGGCCGGGGTGGGGGTGGGAATGGACAAAAGATTTGAGTAGAAATTTCACAAAAAAGACACTGATAATGCTCAGCATTATTAGTCATTAGAGAAATGAAAATTAAAAGGATAATGAGATTGCACTACACAACCACAACTACTGCTAAACACCAACAAATCGGAGTGAGCAACGCCCACGTTGAGGTTATTATCCTCCCCTGGAAGTTCCCACTTTGGGAACGGGAACACATCTGGACTACCAAAAGCCATCTCCCCAGTTCGGGTACTTGGCCAAGACTCTCGGAGGGGTTACTGATTTGAGACTTAGTGATGCCAGTAAAAGAATCTGCTGAGAATGTGAAGAATTTGCTGAAACAGTCATGAAGTGAAAATTCTAAGCATTTCGAAACACAGTCCTCTTGAATATTATTGTACACACAAATCGTGAATGATCTGCAGGGGATTCTAATGTTACCGATGTCCCCCTCCCTTAATCCATATAACTAAGCAAGGGTCACATTAGGGTGGTTAGAAGCAAAACTCTGAGTAACATGAACCTGGCCTCCAGCTCCATCCCCACCACTGAGTTCACTGAGCCCTTGGGCAAGTTATTTAGTTTGAGCCTCAGTCACCTCCTGCATAAAATAGAGCTAACGCTATTTACCTCATAGAATTGTCATAAAAGGTTCTGTTCAGCCAGGCATGGTGGCACATGTCTATAGTCCCAACTATTCAGAAGACTGAGGTGGAAGGATTCCTTGAGCTCAAGAGTTCAAGACCAGCCTGGGCAACATAGAGAGACCCCGTCTCCACAAAAACAAACAAACAAAAAGATTCCATGAAGTCAAGGATCACTTGGCCCATGGTAAATTGTCAATAAATGGTTCATGTTACTGTTACTGACACCCTGCCTGGCTTTCTGGTGCTCTTGAGGTGTGACAGTGGTCCTACGTGCAGTGACCTTTACTGTTCTGTGCTAGGATGCTGGACCGTGCTGCACTGTCTGTGCTCAGCTCTTTACTGCCCTCTTATCCTGCTCTGAATCACAGCAGGGTCCACACTACAAGCTACATCCCCCAGGTTTCTGCACTAGCTAATGGGAGGCACCGGTGAGAGGTCGACTGATCAGGGAAGACAGACCCAGGGTCCCGCAGCCTCTCTGCAGCTCCTCTGTAGCCCCAGCTGCCACCCAGCAGGCTTGCAGACCACACTGGGCTCCAAGAACTGTCTCTTCCCTTTGTTTCTCCAGCCTGGGCTGGTTGTGGCTTCCTGCCTTGCTCAACCCTAGGGTACTTCACTGAAGTGACCTTGTTTGGCTTCTGGGCTCCTCCACATCACCTGTGTAACAAATTCCCTGTATTACATTCCCTCTGTTATAAGTACCTGGCATGGTTCCTGGTCAGCCCCTAATCGTACAGATGGTTGGTCACCTGGTATATAGGACCCTTGAGATTTGCAGAACACTAATTGTAATTGCTTATTCACTTGTTCGGAGTCTACTGCAAGTGCCAGTTCTCTATCAGTCGCTTACTGAGGAAGATTTGCATCCTCCCGATCCTTTTAGTAAAGTGCCTGCTGCTAATTACTGATTACCCAAGGGGATGGGATGGCTTGTCTCTGTTTTAGAGGCTTTGTGGCCAGATGCCTGGCTTTGGGTATTTGTTTCTGGAGTCCCTCTCTGGCATAGAAATTGGGGAGAGCACTTGATGCCTTTCCTGTAGTTGAGAAGAGCAACTTCCTGAGTGAGATTCCAGGTAACAGCCCTTTCTCCCTCTCACCATTGGGCAAAAACCTGGACACCCCATTTCTTCCTGGGTCACGCATAAGACACCTCACAGACCCACCTGCACGCCACACACATGCCCAGCAGCTCAGCCTCTGCTGTTTAACAGTTTCACATACAACGTGGTTGGATTTTTATGGTACTGGCTTCCAGGGAGACACAAGGGTTTGTTCTACAAAGATGCTCCCACCAGAATTGGCTCCATAATTTGCAGGGCCTGGTGCAAGCTGAAAAGGCAGGGTATCTTATTCAAATATGATCCAGCTGGCAACAGCAGAGCATTAAATCTAGTGCAAGATGCTGAGCAAGTACACAGATGCATCCGGGCACTGGCTCCTCCCCAGCCTCCCTGCACAGCACCATGAGATCTCAGGGGAACTGGGTTTAAGTACCTAACACAGTGCTAAATGGCATGGGAGACATGACCAGGGTTCCCTTGGCCACATAGGCAGCATGCAGGAAGGGTGGGAATGGAGGAAAGGGGCAGAGCTGTGTACCCCCGCAACTCAACCAAGGCAAAGGGACCTCTTTTACCAAATAATCAAGCTATAGGCCATTTGGCCCCTCCACGGCACGACCTCTACTTTGGTCCCCAATCACCTTCCTCATGTGCACTAGCCGTGTGACTGTGCTAGCTGCCCAAGATCCAAAAATGCTCAGAGAAAAGGGAACTCTTAACCTGGGCCAGCAGCATATCAATCAATCATGATAGCATTCCACACAGACATGGAATTGACCAATATACAGAGCACACAAAGTTATGGAAGACACCTGACCCCTGGGGACAGGCCCAGCTCAGGACTGACATGCAGCAGGGGTTTCCTCTCTTGGGAATTGCTCCTTCTCCTGCTATTGAGGACACCAAACCCTGTGTTTCCAGAGATTCCTCCCATTCAGAAATTCTCAACTGGGATCACATTGTCCCTCCAGCTAAGACCAACTGTCTCCTGCAGGTCTCTCTGGCTCATGGAAAGACCTACATACCCAGGTCTCCAATCCCAGGGGACATTCTGCATGGTAGCCACATTGCTTTGATTATTTGCAAATAGAGATGTGAATTAATTCAGAAATCATGGGATTTAGTCAACACATGGTCCTTGGAAAATAGTTCTTAAAAGAGGGTACCATGAAAAGGGGGTTAACTGGACAGGGAGCAGATCAATCCTGGCTTTTAGTACCATATCCACAGCTCCAGAGGAGATGGATTTAGGAGGCCAAGAGAGAAGGCAGGAAGCCTGATCAGGAAACTGCTCCAGCACTGGGGAGAAGGTTAGGATGGGCCTGGGTTTTCCTGCACTGCACCACCATCCACCCATCCAGTTAATAAGTTTTCATTGATCAGCTATGATACACCCAGCAAGGTGTTATGTGCTAGGATGACCACAAAGACAGAGCCTGCACTTACAGAGCATGCAGTCCATGAGGAAGCAACTGGTCGGCCATTGCACAAATGGACATGTGATTACAGAGCAAGATGGGTTCTATGGAGATAAAGTACTAGGAGAGAACAGGGTTCTGATGTTGATCATATTACTGTTTTTAAGACTATGGGGAGATACATAGAGCCCCAATGGTGACATGCTGGGAAAATGCATCATCCGTAAACAAAAAAAATTCACTGCTTCTTATCAAAAAAACAAGAAAGTATGGCATCTGCTTCCTGTACTACCTTGTTGTC